TTAGAGATTCCAGTGTCCACCAATACAAATGAAGGAATGGACGCTGCTCAATCGACCCCAGGGGTCCAATGCTGGGGACTGGCTTCAGCCGCTGTTCTGGCCGTGCCCTCTGACACACTTCACCTCGCCCACTGGGTCTTGGTCATAGTGGTTGATCACTACTGCTGTGACCAAGCCCCGGTGGGCGAGGTGAAGTGTGCCAGAGGGCCTGGCCAGAATGGCAGCTTAGGTCATTCCTCAACATTGGACTCCTGGGGTCGGTTGAGAGGTTTAGTACCAATGTCATTAAGCACATGTTTAACCCCTTCACACCTAAGGGTAAAACAAATCTTTTTTTCCAAAAAAAAGTTTTATTTTTATTTTGAAATAAGAAAGGCATAACAAGTCATATACGGATACGGAGCACAGTCCGCGCATAAACATCTGTCTTAATCTCCCGTAGCGCAGACGGGTCATAAGTTGTTTATTTGAAGTGTGAATTACCCTGATACAAAAGATCACATTATAGCAGTTGAGTAAACTAAACCAAAAAAAAGAGTACTGATTATAATAGGTAGTCTAGAGAATTATAGTGGATGCTGCTCTAATGCGTAGGGATTATTCAAATAATGGGACCACGAGGCGCAGTACAAAATATCATTTGAAGGCGTGCAGTTCTTCTGTGTCCGTAGCCGGGCAATGTAGGGTTCTTATTGTGAAAGACAATCATACCTATATGTGAAAGGGCACCCTGTCCCTCATAAAAGATATAGTTATTTGTAGAAGGGTAAAACAAATCTTAATGCCTAAGCACAATTTTGCAACGTTGACATGTGTTAGTAAAACCGTACATATCATCACAACTACTTTGTACATCCAGGCAGATTATACCGCGTTTTTTTTGCAGGACAAATTGGGCTTTCATTTGGTGGTAAATGGTAATGGATATCCCCTGATTTTTTTTATTATTAAAGAAAAACTGGCCCAAAGAATAAAAAAAATTATTTAGCTCTGTGTTTCTTGTTAGTACCATAACTTACCACCAAAGAACAACCCAAAATAAATTCTCCAGCTCTTGACGATTGCAGCGATACCATATATGTGTATGTTATTTGTTGTTTGTACCCGTAGTACAGCCCAGAAACAATAGTGCGCATTTTGTTTTTGTCCTTTTTTTACCTAAAACACACTGACACTGACATTGAAACTAACTGACACTGATACCAATTTTTTTTTAAATCCTGATCTTTGACCCTGACCTTTTACCATGACCTTGACCCAAACAATAACCCTGGCACTGAACTAGATCAAACCTTGAGCTAGGTATTTTTTCTTTATTTTTAATTTTATTTTTTTAATATTTATTTACCTATATATATTTTTTTTTTACAAACATTTTTTTTTCTCTCTATGCCAGGAGTTAGAGAGATACAATGTAGAGAGAAAAAAACAAGGGGACAGGGCTGCACAGTGACTGATCACTGTGATAGCCAATCAGAGGCTATCACAGTGATCATGTGACCCGGAATCGGGAGTCTTGGGTCCCAATCGTTAGAACAGGACCTGGGGCTCTCAGTGACACCGCAGTCATTGTGCTGGGAGTGCGCAGTGTGGCGCGTGCCCAGCACAAAGACAGGTACGCAAATATGCGGCCCCACGGGAAAAAGCCCAGTTCCGTGAGGCCACATATTTGTGTGATGTCGGCGTCAAGGGGTTAATATTGGATTAACTTCAGGCAAAATACACATATAATGGCACCAATACCAGTGGCCAGTGTGCTTGTGCTCCTACATGCATGTTGTTTAATGCGCACACTAAATACGCTTAGTGTCTGGCAGTAACTTTATGCTCAGAAACATGTGTATACGCATGCGCTGGTCTGTTCATATTGGAACACCCTGGACCTTCCTTACAAGTCCTTTGTAAAGGAGTAAAACTGCTGTAACAGATTACAAAGTATTAGCTGGAGTTAGGCTTCAGTTTGTTAGTGTATTTAAATTTGCTAGTACTTCTTACATTCCCCTCCCTAGACTGCCAATGCTGTTGTCTGCTGTGCTCCCTGTGCTCCTTCATCCAGAGTGGAGGCGCTCTAATACAGGAGATGTGTTACTAGCCAGATCACCAGATAATAACAGAAGGAAAAAAGCCTAAAAAAAAGAAAACAAAAAAAAACACCACATCTTATGATTGGTAAGCTGCAATATTTTACATTTTTGGTTTGCAGTTTAATAAAGCTTTAATGAATTAGAGGCTCTTGAGGAAGTGGATTTCTGAACTATCTGCTATGGAAGAAAAACCTTCCTTCCTGTGTCATCACCAAAGAGATGTCCTCCTTCAAAGAGCATATGAGTGAGGCGTCTTTTACAGGCAGGTTTAGCTGACCAGGCTTTGAACCACAAGAATCCGCGCATGTGAATGAAGATTGGGGTTCGGGCAGAGTTTCCAAGAATTTACTGAAATTGCACAGATCCAGATACACGGCTTCTACTGGTGTATTAGAAGACATTGATTTTGGAAGCCAAGGATAAAATAATAAAGCAAAGGGGGTTATTTACTAAAATGGAAGAGTGCAAACTCTGGTGCAGCTCTGCATAGAAATCAATCAGATTCTGGGGTTTATTGTCAAGCTTAATTGAACAAGCTGAGGTTAGAAGCTGATTGGCTGCCATGCACAGCTGCACCAGATTCTGTTTTCTGTAGTTCATCTGCACTAATAAAGTATTATACTTCCTATTACTGGGACCCTTTACTGTTCTGCCTAATAGTGAACTCCTGAGTGGTTCTTTGGACCTCTCTACTAGTTTGCTAATAAACCAGGCCAATTGTGAATATTCACCTACTGCACTCATTTACAGGACTTGCTCAGCCTAATCCATGGAAGAGCAGATCTCTTGTTAATTGTAACATAGTTACATATTACATAGCTTGTCTGGCTGAATAAAAGACAAAAGTCCATCCAGTTCAACCATAAGAAAAAAAGTTATAATCCCACACCCACAGTTGATTCAGAAGAAGGCAAGAAAAAAAAACCAAAACAGCAAAGCATGGTCCAAATTTTCTTGTGCAAGGGAAAAAAATTCCTTCCTGATCCCTTGAAAGACAATCAGAATATTCCCTGGATCAACTTTACCTATAAATGTTAGTATCCAGTTATATTCTGTGTATCCAGAAAGAATCCAGGACTTTTTTAAATCAATCCACTGAGCTGGCCAGAACCAACTCATGAGGGCGTCTATTCCACATTTTCACAGCTCTCACTGTGAAGAAACCTTTCCGTGTGTTTGGAGATTAAATTTTTTTTTCCAGACGTGAAGAGTGCCCCCTTGTCCTCTGTGATGACCTCAGGGTGAATAACTCTACACCGAGTTCACTATATTAACCACTGATGTATTTATACATGGAGATCATATTCCCCCTTATGTATTATACATGGAGATCATATCCCCCCTTATGTATTATACATGGAGATCATATCCCCCCTTATGTATTATACATGGAGATCATATCCCCCCTTATGTATTATACATGGAGACCATATCCCCCTTATGTATTATACATGGAGATCATATCCCCCTTATGTATTATACATGGAGATCATATCCCCCTTATGTATTATACATGGAGATCATATCCCCCCTTATGTATTATACATGGTGATCATATTCCCCCTTATGTATTATACATGGAGATCATATCCCCCCTTATGTATTATACATGGAGATCATATCCCCCTTATGTATTATACATGGAGATCATATCCCCCTTATGTATTATACATGGAGATCATATCCCCCCCTTATGTATTATACATGGAGATCATATCCCCCCTTATGTATTATACATGGAGATCATATCCCCCCCTTATGTATTATACATGGTGATCATATCCCCCCTTATGTATTATACATGGAGATCATATCCCCCGTTATGTATTATACATGGAGATCATATCCCCCCTTATGTATTATACATGGAGATCATATCCCCCCTTATGTATTATACATGGAGATTATATCCCCCCTTATGTATTATACATGGAGATCATATCCCCCCTTATGTATTATACATGGAGATCATATCCCCCCTTATGTATTATACATGGAGATTATATCCCCCCTTATGTATTATACATGATGATCATATCCCCCTTATGTATTATACAGTATACAATATGGACATGTTACCCTCCTTACCTGATATTACTTGAAGTTAGATTTTGAAAACTGCCCTTTGTCTTTTCATGCATGCTCTTGAAAATGAATCATAATAAATTAGTGCTATGAATTCATTGTATACTATATTTACTATTTATACAGCTTGGAATACTCTTAACAAAAGATATACAAAAATCCCAGTCTCAAATCTGTATTAAAAAGTTCCCATAATTGTACAAAGCTTTGACATCCAACGCCATCTTCAATTTAATGTTCCAGGTTATGATTACATTTTCGGCTAAATGGAATTGCTGCTGGAGAGGAATTTAGCTATGTGTAGGAAAAATGGAAGGGACATAGGAAGGAAAAATCAGATGAAAAGGAAGGTGAAATGAAATAGACATCAATGAAATTGAGCATTTTCACTTCCTTAAAAATGATGGTGAAATCAGGAGATTTAAAAAACAATTCACCATTTTGGCAAAATGCATTGGAGTCAATAGAGAAGGTAAATTCAGGGTCCTGTTTGTTGTTTTTTAAGGGCACTGTGGGATTAAATGAGCTCTTTAGGGTTACACAAGCAAGGAAAAAAAATAAGGAAAAATTTTAAAAATTAAAATCGAAAGTGACAGTAGACCAATAGTAACCTAATGCCCAAAAGAGAGTAAAGAAAAGCGTAAATAACAACATTAAATAAAGAAAATTACCCTAGATAAATACAAAACTCTAAATAAAGAAAAAAAGTAAATCATTATTATTTTGCATATTTTCCCTTAAGTTATTTGTAAACACACTTCTAAAGGGCAATCTATTACAGCATATACTGTTAAATGTTTCAATACATCATCAAAACAAAAATATATATATATATTTTTTAAACCTTATTCTATTCTTTTATTGTGGTTGGCATGTGATGTCACAGCCTCACCTGTCCCTCTTAAAGTGTTACTAAACCCAAGACCCTGCATTCACTATATCCGGTCTCCCCGGACCCTGCATTCACTATATCTGGTCTCCCCGGACCCTGCATTCACTATATATCTGGTCTCCCCAGACCCTGCATTCACTATATCCGGTCTCCTCGGACCCTGCATTCACTATATCCGGTCTCCCCGGACCCTGCATTCACTATATCTGGTCTCCCCAGACCCTGCATTCACTATATCTGGTCTCCCCAGACCCTGCATTCACTATATCTGGTCTCCCCGGACCCTGCATTCACTATATCTGGTCTCCCCGGACCCTGCATTCACTATATCTGGTCTCCCCGGACCCTGCATTCACTATATCTGGTCTCCCCAGACCCTGCATTCACTATATCTGGTCTCCCCGGACCCTGCATTCACTATATCTGGTCTCCCCGGACCCTGCATTCACTATATCTGGTCTCCCCGGACCTTGCATTCACTATATCTGGTCATCCACATTGCACAGAACATGGAAATGCAATTATATTAGTAAATATAACCTGCTAAATATCTTTTCTCATCAGCAGTATATAGCAGTCTTCTGACTTCTATCAGTGTCCGTCTGAGCACTGTTAAAGCTTGTAGGAGGAGTATTCATTCTCCTGTGACTGTCATGGGAGGCTGTAGGGTACCTGACCCTCTATTTGGACAGCGCTGATTGGCCCTGTGCACCCTCCCAAAAAAAGAAAAAAAATCTCTAGCAATACACACTAAACTGAGCATGTGCAACGTGCTTCTTGGGCTCTGTACTATCAGCAAATTGATTGGGGACTGTGGAGGAAGGGCAGGCAAGATCAAACAGCCTTTTTACACAATGCTGAGGATTAACCTTAGGTTTCACAGTGAGTATAACAAGCATGCTTTACTGCATACACAGACTGTTGTGGGTTTGGTAACACTTTAACTGTAGCAGGGGACGTGTGTCTATTTAGAAGGGATGGACACAGTGCAAAATTGCCCTATCTATGGCTCAATCACAGGCAGCAGACTGGTAGGTGGGCAGGATTAATTGACACAGCGGGGGGGGGGGGGGGGGCTAACATTACATATGTACACCACCAAGAAGCAGCTTCCCTATCTGTGTGTATTGCATTCTAGAACTAGATTTTGTTTTGACAGCGGCAATGTTGCACACACAAATGCAAATGCACACACTGAGTAATGTAAGCCACACCTACCCCCTTAAACAAATAAGAGCTTGGAGGAGGTGTGGCTGTACAACTGACCACAGAGATACAGGAGGGAATGGGAAGATCGCCGCAGCGATCGAATCTGCACATGCGTAGAATCCTGACAAAACGTACAGGCAGCAGGCACTAGGACCCAGGCGTGCCTGTCACAAATGACGGGCTAGGCAAGCACTAGGACCCAGGAGTGCCTGTCAGGAGTTGGGTGGACTATTTAAACCCGGCTCTTGCAATGCTCAAGTGCCGTATGGTTTTATCTGTGTTCCTGAGTTCCTGTGAGTAGATTGTTTGTTGCCGAACCTGCCTGACCCTGATTTGCTGTCCGTCTCCTGCTCTGATCCCTGGCTTTGTCTGACCATTCTCCTGCTTAACCCTGTACGTTCTGACCTCCTGCTAACGAACCCGGCTTGTGACCTGTTTATCCCTCTGCCTGCTGATTTTGTACTACGCCGCCACCACTGTTACCAACCCGGCCTGCCTGACGCTGCTCCTGTTACCTCCTCACATCAGACTCTCACCTGCTATACACCTCCAACGGTGCTTCTACCACAGCTGGGTGAACCCAGGGGCCGCGACCTGGTCTCGGCCTGCTCCAAGTCCATCCCCACCATCAGGGGCCCTGGTGAACAAGCAGGTCGGAGCTTAGATTCCGCGCCTTGGGGGAATCCAGTCTGTGGAGTGCTAGAGGCTACCGCAGTGGGGTCCCTGACAGAACCATACGGCCATGTCAGAGTCTGGAGGAGGACCTTTGCCCTGGGAAGAGATGTGCCAACATCTGGCGGCACTCACACAGGCAGTGAAGACCCTGGAAGAGGGATACAAGCACCTGGAGGGACAGGTCCAGAGCCTGGCCGCACCAACACCCACAACTCCAGGCCCAGTGGGTGCGCCTCCGACCATGGGTGCAGCGGGGTCTGCAGTTGGAGCAGCATTTACCATCCCCCGCCAGAGCCAAGAGTGCCGACCCCTGAGCGGTTCAGTGGGGACCGAGGGAAGTTCAGGGCCTTCCAAAATTCCTGCCAGCTGTACTTTGACCTGCAACCCCGGACCTTCTCTTCTGAATCAGTGAAGGTAGGATTTGTCATATCCTTGCTGCAGGGGGAGCCCCAGGGATGGGCTCATCGCCTGATGGAGGCCCACCACCCACATTTAAATACTGTCACCACATTCTTTAAGGCGATGGCACAACTGTACGATGACCCGCATCGAGCCGCCTCGGCTGAAGCAGCTCTCTATTCATTACAACAGGGACGCCGGGCAGCGGAGGACTATGCCGCTGAGTTCAGGCAATGGAGTGGAGACACACAGTGGAATGATGCAGCTTTACGCCACCAGTTCCGGTTGGGACTGTCAGAACCATTGAAGGATGAGTTAGCGAGAACAGAAATTCCAGACTCCTTGGAAGGTTTAATCGATCGGGCCATACAGATCGATCGCCGACTGCGGGAAAGGAGACAGGAGAGGTCCAGCCAGGGGCAGAGAACTTCATGGATGATGCCTAGAGTACCAGTCATGCCAAGGGTCAGTGTCGGCAGTCGGAGCTCCGAACCGTCCGAGGGGGCCGAGCCTATGCAACTCGGCCTGATGCGGCCTACTCTTTCTACTGAGGAACGACAGAGGCGTCGAGCCAATAACCTGTGTCTTTACTGCGGAGCAGCGGGTCATATGGTGCGTTCCTGTCCGAAGAAATACTGTAAGTTCTCTTCTATTCCTTTTAATATATCTACTGTATGTGCAGGCAACCCCACTCACTTGGCTGTACCTGTGTCTTTTCAGCTTCCCGGAGGAAGCACACAGGTGATGGCTATCATTGATTCTGGGGCCTGTAGTTGCTTTGTCGATCTCGGTTTCGCTACCCAGCACCAAATACCGTTGCTCGCCAAAGAACACAGGGTGAATATTTTTCTGGCGGATGGGTCTCGGATAAAATCGGGGACGGTAGACCGGGAAACCCCTCCTATACATACCACAGTGGCGGGTTATCACCAGGAGTTTCTCCGCTTGGACGCCATCGCGTCCCCCCTATTTCCAGTTATTCTGGGGCTCCCTTGGCTACGAGCTCACGACCCCCAAATTGACTGGAAGACCGGGTCAATCCAGTTCCACTCACGATACTGTCAGGAACATTGTCTACCTAGGGCATCACTAGATACCCCGGCCTTATTAACTGTAAGCTCCGAGGCCAAGTTAACTCAGATGGTACCTGCAGCTTACCACAAATTCCTAGATGTGTTTAGTCCACGGGGGGCAGAGGTTCTTCCCCCACATCGGGCCTATGATTGCCCCATCGATCTGCTCCCAGGCTCCGAGATTCCTTTTGGCCGCATTTTTCCCTTATCTGAGCGGGAACTAGGGGCTTTAAGAGAATATATTGATGAGAGCCTCCGGAAGGGATTTATCCGCCCTTCCACATCCCGGCCGGGGCAGGGATTTTCTTTGTTGAAAAGAAGGACGGATCCCTAAGACCGTGTGTTGATTACAGAGACCTCAATAAGATTACTGTCAAAAACCGCTACCCCCTTCCTTTGGTCCCAGAATTATTTCAGAGATTAAGGACGGCATCCATCTTCTCCAAGTTGGACCTCAGGGGTGCCTATAACTTGGTTCGGATACGTGAGGGAGACGAGTGGAAAACAGCGTTTCGCACTCGGTTCGGACATTTTGAATGTCTTGTCATGCCTTTTGGGCTATGTAATGCACCGGCCACCTTCCAGCACTTTGTCAATGACATTTTCAGGGACTTTCTGGATATCTTTGTCATTGTCTATTTGGACGATATCCTGATATTTTCCTCTTCCCTGGAAGCACATCGGGGACATGTTAAGAGTGTGCTGGAACGTCTCCGTCAGCATGGCCTTTATGCGAAAGCCGAGAAATGCTGCTTTGAACAGGAAAGCATTTAATTTCTTGGTTTAATAATCTCCACTACGGGGATCGCTATGGACCCACAAAAAATCTCAGCTATCCTGGAATGGCCTGCCCCCACGGATAAGAAGGGAGTTCAGAGATTTATTGGATTCGCCAATTTTTATAGAAAGTTCATAAAGAACTTCTCAGGCCTGGTAGCGCCCATTACCCAGCTCACCAAGGTAGGAGTTCGTTTCCAATGGACTCCAGCTGCAAAGGTAGCTTTTGACGCATTGAAAAAACTATTTACAACGGCTCCCATTCTGAGCCACCCTGACGCATCCCTACCCTACATACTAGAGGTAGACGCATCAGAAGTGGCTGTTGGAGCAGTATTGTCACAGAGGGTAGGGGCCAAGGAGCTAATGCATCCAGTGGCTTTTTTCTCCAGGAAGCTATCCCCTTCTGAAAGGAACTACGATATTGGGGATAGGGAGTTACTAGCCATTAAGACAGCTCTGGAGGAATGGCGTTATCTGCTAGAGGGGGCCCTACACCCCATTCTGGTCTATACTGACCACAAAAACCTGGAGTATTTAAAAACAGCAGCCAAACGCCTCCGTCCACGCCAGGCCAGATGGGCACTGTTTTTCGCGAGATTTAGTCTTCACATAACGTATCGTCCTGGGTCAAAGAACACTAAGCCTGATGCCCTTTCTCGGATGTTCGAGGATCCTAGGGAGACGCCCCAGCCAGACACCATCCTGCCGGCAGGTAGCTTTCTATTGCTACAGTCAGAACTGCTGTCTAAATTGCAGGCGGCCTCCAACCGGGTTCCTGACCTGCCTGGGGTCTCCCTGCTGAACAAGGAGGGTCTCTTTTGGAGAGGGGAACAGGTCGTGGTACCCAAGGAGGTCCAATCCCTGGTGTTGGGGTTTTGTCATGACCATCCCCTAGCAGGACACTTCGGGATACATAAGACGTTAGAGCTGACACGACGCACATTTTGGTGGCCAAACATGGCCAAGGACTGTGAAGCATATGTGAAATCTTGCCCCGTCTGTAACCGAAACAAACCCACCAGAGACAAGGCCTGGGGCCTATTGAAACCACTGCCAATACCTGACCGACCTTGGAGTATGATCTCTCGTTAGATTTTATTGTTGACTTGCCACCCTCACGAGACCACACTGTGATCTTTGTGGTTGTGGACCGCCTGTCTAAAATGGCCCATTTTCTGCCACTAGCCAAGACACCATCAGCTTCCGAAACAGCCCAAGTATTTATCAAAGAGATTGTGAGGCTGCACGGAGTGCCAAAGAGATTGTCTCGGACCGTGGAGTACAGTTTACTTCCAGATTCTGGAAAGCATTATGTGAGGGGCTGGCG